CCCCCCCCCCAACACGCACACACACAGAGATAGAGAGGGACATTGGAAGATTCCGTTTCTCTGTGGGTTGGCAGCCGAGCTCGTTTCTGGTGCAAGCCAAGGATGCCGGCGGGAACAACAGGGCCGACCATGTGGAGACCTTTGTTGCGGACTTCTCTGGTAAACACACACACACACATACATACATCGTCACATCGACAAATGTGCGATTTGTTCTCACTGACAGGTCCGAGCAGCAGCAGCGTCCTCTCCGTCCCCCACGTGTCTGGTGCCAACGACGGGCTCTACCGGGTGGACTATGTGCTGACCACCATTGGGACATACACTGTGGACGTCACACTGGGCGGCGTGGCCATCAAAGACAGGCAAGCACCTCCCCCCCCCTCCCCGCACCCCGCACACACACACACACGCTCACATCAGAGAGATAGAGAGACTTACATGTCTCTCCTTCTCAATGCCGTCTCTCTTGTCGGTATCCTTCTCTCTCTCTTTCTCGCTCTCTGTGCAGTTCCTTCACTCTCACCGCCTCGCCCGGCAATGTCTCGCCCCCAAACTGCGAGGCCTCCGGGGCGGCACTGACGACCTTCGTTGCCGGTGCGACACAGACGTTCTCTTTGCAGCTGAAGGACGCCTATGACAACGATGTGCTGACGGACAGTGCTGGCACGGTGGGCGTGTGTGTGTGTTTGGGGTGTGTGGGTGTGTGTATGGGTGTGTGTATGGCTGTGTGGGGTTTCTCTCTCTGTGCATGTGTGCCGGTGAGGGAGGGGAGAATATGTGTGTGTGTGACCAAGAGATGGATCGCTCTCTCTCTCTTTGTATGTGTGTGTTTGTGGGTTTGTGGGTGTGTTTTTGTGTGTGTAGGTCACGTGTGAGCTGCGATGGACGGGCTACACACGTTCCGCTAAGCTGGCGTGGCCCGACGACACGGCCGCACTCACAACCACATATGGGGAGTACTTCACCGGCACAGCCACATACACAGCCAACGGTGGGTCAGCTGCAGAAACACACACACACACACACACCTCTGTGTGTGTGTGTGTGTGCAGGCGAGTACACGGTGAGCTTCTCGGCGCTGCGGCAGGGCGGATATCAGATGCACGTCAAAATCGACGGGTAAGTGTCTGTCTCTCTGTCTCTCTTTTTATGCGACTCTCTTTCTCTGTGTGTGTCTGCAGGACGCCGATCAAAAACTCGCCTTTCTCGCCCACATGCGACTCG